TGTAACAGAGACAGAAAGGTCAGACAGAAGGTGTCTTCCGGGAGCTGGTGTTGGTGACAAAAGTCAGCGGGTTGGTAATATTATGGCAGGTAATGGGAACAAGCCTATTATCTGTCTTAGTGCTGGGGGTAATGACATTGGGGAAGGGCAGGAGAGAGGAGCTGCTGGATAAGTACAGGTCCCTAGAAGTAGTTAGGTCTAAGGAGGGTCCCAGTCATATGTAGCATCTTGCCAGAAAGGGAGTGGGTAATGAAGGGATGTCTAGGGCAATTGGTAAAAAATTGTTGGCTAAGACAGGTACGCAAAGAACTTGCAGTCCCATTCATTGATAACTGGGACCTATTCTTTGGAAAAACGTGATATGTATCAAGGGATGGGGTTCATCTCTCTGGGGATGGAGTGGTTGCATTAGCCAATTCAATTGAGGGGGTAATTGATGACTTGTCTAAAATTTAAACTGAAAAATTATAGAGATATGGGTGTTTGTGGGAAACAATCAGGCTGCAGCATTAGGGTTAAAAACAGCAGTTATTACCGGGATACCTCAGGGAAAATGTTTAAAAGACAATATTCAAAATGAAAGTTGCTAGTAATGGCAAATCAATTGATCAACAAACAAAGAGGGATAGTAGAGGGCAACGAGTGACTAGCTCCCTTAGGGTTTACTATACAAATAGTAGGAGTCTAAGAAATAAGATAGATGAGCTAAGATTACTTGCAAGTGTAGGGAATATAGATATTATTGGTATAACAGAGACCCGGTTTAAAATGAAATATAGAGAAAAAGCCTTCTGAATGCAACATACAGGGGTTTTAAACTATTCCACACTGATAGGGTCAGCAGGAAGGGTGGTGGTGTGGCGATGTAAGTCAGAGAAAATTTAAATTGTTGTCTTAGACATGATGTGAGATTAGAAACATCGAACACAGAATCTGTTTGGCTACAGTTTCTCGGGGTGACATGACAATTAATTTTGGGTGTGATTATAGGCCCCCAAACCTTGATAGGGGGGGCAGTAAGCTGTTATGGGACGAAATTCATAAGGCATCTAGATATGAAAATGTGTGATAATGGGAGATTTTAACTTTTGACAAAATTGATTGGAACAATATAACCCAAAAACTCGAGTCTAGTGACTTTCTTGATACGGTTAGGATTGCTTTTTTAGAACAGGTTGTGACAGAACCAACTAGAGGAAACAATCTGCTTGAATGGTTCTTGCCAACAAAGATTCACTAATTAATAATCTTGAGGTTAATGATTTAAACTTGGGGAAAGTGATCACAAATCACTTAGTTTTAATATATCCCTGGAATTAAACCCCATTTAACTGGCAATCAAATCTCTGTCCCATATTTTCGCTTGGCCGACTTCATGGGACTGAAAAATTACCTGGGGGGGCTAAATTTGGATGTCCTGACTATGGATCAGGTAGGTGACTTGGTTGCCAATATGACTTTTTTTCAGAGCATGGGTTCTAGCTCCCCAGAAAACTTTTGTTCCGAGTAGGGAAATTAATCTAACAAAAATGATCCCAAATGGATGAACAATAGATTAAAACACTCATTGGTCAAAAGAGAGGCATATATAGGAGTATCAAAAGAGGGGATGGGCATTAAGAAATCAATATATTAAATTAAAGAGAGAATAAAGAAAGGAATAAGAAAAGAAAAAAGGGAATTATGAGGCTAAGGTCGCAAGGGATTCAAAGATTAACCCAAAAGGGTTCTTTAAAGAAAACAGAGTAAGATTAGGGACAAGATGGCCCACTTAAGAGTAACTCTGGTCAGACACTGACAGGGGATAAGGATATTTTTTGAATTTCTAATACCTACTTCCTCTCGTTTTCACCCAGGAAAATTTACAAAGCTATATTCCTGAAATAATAGTTATATAGAACAGGATGATAATAAACTATGTACGATTGCGGTAACTATGACATGGTCCTCAGACAAATAGAGAACTAAAACCTAACAAATCCCCAGGTCCTGATGAACTGTTTGCAAGGGTTTAAAGGGAATGTAAAAGAGGAACTTAAAATATCTCTGGCTAATCTTTTTAACATATCACTACAAACTGGCATAGTGCCTGATAGTGGAAAATGGCAAATGTAAACCTATTTACAAGGCCGGTTTACAGGTCCTTGGCTTCCACTATAGACCCAATAGCCTTACCTCCATAGTGGGGAAAAATTTTTGGGAATCAATAATTTGCCAAACCAAATTTGTAGTCATTTTGGGCAGGCACAGATTTAATAATGAACTCAACACGGTTTTACAAGGGGCGTTCCTGTCTTACAATTTACTAACTTTTTTTTACTATGGTGTTTGAGGGGTAGATCATGGTAAATATGATATTGTGTATATGGACTTTAGTAAGCTTTCGATAGATTCACCACACCAGGGGTATTGAGGGAAAATTAAGGCATACGGAAAAGGAGGAAAATTTTTTCCTGGTAAGGCATGGGTGACAAATAGACAGCAGAGAATTTTCATAAATGGGGAGAAATCAGAATGGGGGCACGTCACAAGCGGTGTTCCTCAGGGGTCAGTGTTGGGCCCGTTGTTGTTCACAATTTACATAAACGACATAGATAAGGGAATAAATAGCGACATAAGCAAATTTGCTGATGACACGAAAATAGGCCGTCCAATTCATTCTAATGAGGACACTAGAGCACTCCAGGATGATTTGAATAGACTGATGCAATGGTCGGAGAAGTGGCAGATGCAGTTTAATATTGACAAATCAAAGTTCTAAATGTTGGACAGGTAAATAACCCTGCCACATATAAACTAAATAATGTAGATCTTAATACTACTGATTGCGAAAAGGATTTAGGAGTTCTGGTTAGCAGTAATCTAAAACCAACACAACAGTGCATTAGTGTTCGCAATAAAGCTAACAGAATTCTTGGCTTCATATCTAGAAGTATAAATAATAGAAGTCCTCAGGTTGTTCTTCAACTCTATATATCCTTGGTTAGGCCTCATTTAGACTATGCTGCTCAGTTCTGGTCACCGTATTACAGAATGGATATAAATGCTCTGGAAAACGTACAGAGGAGGATGACAAAGATGATCCCGTGTATCAGAAATCTTCCCTATGAGGATAGACTGAGGGCCCTGAATCTGCACACTCTCGAAAGGCGTAGAATTAGGGGCGATGTGATTGAGGTGTATAAATGAAAGACAGGAATAAATAAAGGGGATGTAAATAACGTGCTTAAAATATCTAGCCTAGACCGGACTCGTAGCAACGGTTTTTAAGTTGGAAAAATTCAGATTCAGGAAGGATATAGGAAAACACTGGTTTGGTAATAGGGTTGTGGATGAGTGGAACAAACTCCCGAGTACAGTTATTGAGGCTAAAACTTTGTGTAGTTTTAAAAATAGGTTAGATAAATACATGAGTGGGTGTGGGTGGGTGTGAGTTGGACCTGATTAGCTTGTGCTACTAGGTCAGTTGTCGTGTTCCTTCCTTAAGTGAATATGGCCTGCCCTGACTAGGTTGGGGCATTGGCTTAAGCCGGTAGGAGACTTGGACCTGCCTCGCATGGGCCAGTAGGCCTGCTGCAGTGTTCCTTCTTTCTTATGTTCTTATGTTCTTAAACAACCGGACATACGAAGAGAATTGTAAAATAATTTTTAAGCAAATTAAACAGTATGTGCAGGCAATATGTATGATAGAATTTACTTTAGAAAACAATGGAGATGCTTTGCTGGTGCTTGCATTAAAAATTATAATTTAACATGACTTATGTTGCTAGAGTTGCGAATCTTGAGATCGACCGCCGGAGTCTTAATTCTTCTCAGATCCAATTTACAAATTCATCACTCGTCCTTCCATAGCTTTTTCTTACATTCCTCCGTTTTTTATCCTCCATTCCTTTGATTTTTCCCCTAAATATCTTATAATACGTCACAGAGGAAAGCTAACTAGTGTACACTTTGTCTTTGTTTGTATTTAACGTTTTGCTTTCACCACTCTTTTTCTACTAGCTATTAATGATCTGGCCTCTGTTCTACCATCTAATATTTGGTCATCACTTTATGGTGATAACTTTGCTATAGCTTGTGCAGGCGCTAACTGCCACCTGGTAGCAGCCTCTCACCAGAATGATGTCGACAGTGTCTTCCAATGAGCCAGTACTCGCGAGTTTAAATTTTCTGGTACTAAAAAGCACCAGATTACTTTTACTAGACGTTCTATTGTCTCTAATACTCCGCTATACCTGTATGAGTCCCGTATCCCTGAACGCGATGCGGTCCAATTTCTCGGTCTTCTGTTTGAGTCCTGGAAACCTCACATTACTTCCCTAAGAGCAACTTGTCACAGCTGCCTGAACCTCCTTACAACCCTCGCTCATCTTTCGTGGGGAGCTGATGGTCAAACTCTCCTTCGACTTCATCCATCCCTGTTGTCATCGAAACTAGACTATGGCGACCAAATATATTCTGTGGCCATTCCAGCAACACTTTTTCCCTTGTTGAGAGCCTCTATGCCAGGGGTGGGCAACCTTTTTAAGTGTATGTGTCAAATTCGGCCAAATATTTGATACAAAATCTTCTCACGTGCTAAGTAAAATTTATGGGAACATGTAACAAAATTTTCAAATAAAAAATCACACAGTATTAGTAAAATCGGAGAATATTGCAAGAATGATTTTGAAAACCATGATGTTGAATGAATGGAAAGTATTATGACGTATTTTTTAGTTAAAAGTAGATAATTTTTAACAGCCTTGAAATGTATTTCTAGCTGCCATATACATCCACAAAATTTATAAACGCTATTTTTAACATCAGTAAAAGAGTAAACAATAATTTGAATTATTTATTAGATCAATTAGAATTTTATATTTTTCCAATACATTACAATTCTCAATGACATAATTGTTTTACTTGACTAAAACACAACAAAAGGATATAAAATTAAAAATACCCTTTTATTGATTTTTAATCCCTTAAGAATGTTACATAAAAATCGGAGAGAAACTACAACATAATTATTTTACCAACAAAACTACATATTATGGAAAACAACCACGGGGGGGGGGGGAGTTTTGCATCTTGTATTGCTTGGTTTGCAATATTTGCAACATATTATGTTAAACAGAAGTAAATATTTACCATTTTAGCAGAAAATATCAAATCAAAACTTGAGAGAAAAACTGTGGAACTTTTATTCATTTATCATCACTAAGACTCGAGATATATATTTCATCCATAAGGTCACTCTTATTACCAGACTTAACAAAGTTTATCACTGAAAACAATGATTCACAAGAATAAGTAGATGAAAAAACTGACAGTAATGTAGTTGCGAGGTTCTTCAGACACACAAAATTTTGTGGAATAATATTGCAAGTCCTTAATACCTGGTTTTCCGCATTTCTCTCTGTTACTCCAGACTCTAATCGCTCCTTTTCAATATTTTCAAAGTTAACTCAAAGGTCAACAAATTTCTGTCTCCAAATTGAGCTACCTTGAAATTCAATCAACTGCATTTCAAAATCATCCTTATCTATCCATGAAAACATCTGCAAGTTTAGTTCATCCAGTTTTATACTGTCCGAAAACTTAATGAATTTTGCAGTCTTCAAGTTCTGTGAACTTAGCAAATGATATTTAAGCACTGCTGTCTTGGCTTTAGATTTCTGCTTACCATGACTCCCAAGTCTTTTTAACACATTCTGTATGATCAAGCTCTACTTCACCTAGTTTATAGCTTCGAGGGTTATTTTCATTACAGTACCATTTCTGTCAATCACTTATGCCTCGTCTACAAGTCAATAAAATATTTTATAATTTCATGGGCAAAAGCAAATACATTTTGATAATCTCAGTTTTAATTTAGAATTATGCTCAAAAATATGGCTAAATATGTAATGGATTTTTAAACTGACAATATATAAAACATAAAATAAATATTAGCAACTATACTATTACTGAGGTCACATCCTTGAAACTGTCACATCCTTGAAACTGTCACATCCTTGAAACTGTCACATCCTTGAAACTGCCACATCCTTGAAACTGTCACATCCTTGAAACTGTCACATCCTTGAAACTGTCACATCCTTGAAACTGTCACATCCTTGAAACTGTCACATCCTTGAAACTGTCACATCCTTGAAACTGTCACATCCTTGAAACTGTCACATCCTTGAAACTGTCACATCCTTGAAACTGTCACATCCTTGAAACTGCCACATCCTTGAAACTGTCACATCCTTGAAACTGTCACATCCTTGAAACTGTCGCATCCTTGAAACTGTCGCATCCTTGAAACACTCACACCCTTGATACACTCACACCCTTGAAACACTCGCACCCTTGATACACTCACACCCTTGAAACACTCACACCCTCATATCTTTCACACTCATAACATCAATACACTCTTGGAATAGTCACCTTCATAACATTCACACTCTTAACATTAATACACCCTTTTAACATCCACATTCTTATTATAACCATACTCTTAAAACATCAACACCCTCATAACGTCCATATTTATCTGACATCCACATCCTGATAACATAATAACATCCACACCCTCAGTTGGAGCGATATTATTATGGGTTTACGGAAAGGAAATAGCAAGAGCCTGACTGAACAGATGGTCGCCGGATGAAGTCCGGGATGCGAGAGTAAAGTAAATCCAAGAACCGGCCACATGTATGTCAAAAATATTTCATGTTTCCCAATTGACATATTAAGTATTACAAATCAAGACTTATATAGCAATGGCTGCCAGATCAATAATAATTTATATTTGCTACTATAGAATGTATGAGAGAGAGAGACAGAGAGAGGGAGGGAGAGACAGGGAGAGAGGGAGGGGTAGAAGATAACATAAGAACATAAGAAAGAAGGAGCATGTAATGTAATCTCAGGCTTGTAGTAGAAGCGCCACCCCAGCTAGTATCCATTTAGCAGGCTTCTCCTTGGTCTTCAAGTTGAAGGTCCAGACGTAGGTGGGTCCTCGCTGACGTGTCTTGTAGAGCGGACACCTATACAGGTTCCTGTTCTCAGCCTTGTCTTGCGTGATGGCCTAAAGCGAGAATAATGGACAATTAATAAAGAAATAACAAACATAAATATAAAACAAGAGATTACAATAACTTCGAATGAACACAAGGAGAAACTTTTAACTTACGATAATATACTTCTTCGTTTATGTACAAAAAAGGGACACATAATATACATATAAAAATAATTTAATGACTAAGTAATATATATATATATATATACATATATATATATATATATATATATATATATATATATATATATATATATATATATATATATAT